AAAAAAAAAACCCTCAAAGCTGGAAGGGATTTCCAGCAAATATCTGATCTGTGTCTTTTACTTTTCTCTAGAAATTAATGCCCAGGTAGGTGATTTCTGTCTTAATTGCAAGAAAATGTCAAATCCACTTTGGTGCTCAACTGTCCTTATTATTAGAGAGCAAATTCTCATCTGTAGAGGTTGAATGGTGTTCCTCCAAAAAGTTATGTGCAGGTCCTAGTCCCTGGCACCTGTGAATGTGATTTTATTTTCAACAGAGTCTTGGCAGATGTGATTAAATCTGTGATCTCAACATGAGATCATCTATACTCAGGTGGGTCCTAAATCTAGTAACCAGCATCGAAAGAAGAAAAGAAGGGGACAAGGCCAGTGTGAGGACAGAGGCTGATACCTGGATGATAGGGCTATAGTCGATGGAACTCTTGAGGCTGGAAGGAACCAGGAAAGGTTCTTGCTAGGAGCTTGTGGAGTGTGGTCCTCTAGCACACTGATTCCAGGCTGGTGGCCTTCAGAACAATGTACAAATCAGTTTCCCTTGTTTTAAGTCAAGTCTGCGGCAGTTTGTTACAGCATCCCTGCCTACTAAAACAGCACCTGAGGAGACAAAGCCAGGAGTTAATCTGTCTTCTCTTTCAGCTCCTGCTATAAACAAATGTCCTTCCCAGGTATATGTAGTGTCACATTTCAAAACACTTTTGTGGGCGATTCTGCTGCTTCCCATGATCCCCAAGTGCAGTGCTCAAGTGCTGTCTGGGGTTCTTGTGTGCAGGCAGACTGGGATGTGCCTTAGAGAAAAGTGAGTCAGGTGGGCTTCATTCCTGCCGAAGTTACCGTGCGTTTGGTGAGGAATATGTTAGCAACAACAATATGTTATATGCAGGAAAATAACGAAATTTGCCCGCTTGCAGATGAGGCTTTGAAAGTATGAAAGTAACATCTACAGATCGTGACAAAGCTATAGAACAGTGGCTAAATTTGTGGATTCGTAAGATAGTCACTGATTTTAAAAAAAAGCATAGTTAGCAGTGATGTTTTAAGGCTGCAGACCTTATGGGAAAAGCCAATGAAATTTATAGTCATGTTAACCAGAAGAATGTGGCCTCCTCAGCCAGCACTGGCTGCGCACACATCAGCAGTGCAGAAATGTCCGGTGTGTGAGTGAGGCCGGTTCTGCAGAGCAGGAGGCTGTGGGGGAACTTTTGAAAAACCACCTGGCGCTATACAAGAAAAGGGTCATGTGGATAAGTTGGCTGTCAACGTTGATGCGACTGGCTTTACGAAGACACTGGCAAACAAATGTATACATAATACAAACGACTTTCTGATTCACAAAAATGGAAGCAGAAGATCATAGGAACCTAACCCTGCATTTTCCCCAGGAGTAAGAGTTCGGTATTTGTGGATTCAGTGTTTCAGCAAGTATATATACCACAACCATCACAACAATGCAATTAACTTTTCCTTACCAAACTAAGTCCATCGGAAGGGCTCAGGGTCTGAGAATAGAGGGAAATGGCTTGTTTCGAGGCCAAGGAACGGGCAAGCCTCAGGGCTGAGTGTGCAGCGCAGCACAGACTGGGAATCTCCAAGTCCTAAAAATGTTGGAGGCTTGGGAAAAGGCTACTACCATGGCGAGTCACCTAGGAGGGGGACCTGGACAGAAGGTAACAGCACGCCTTCCCGAGAAGGACACAGTTGTCACTGCTTCTCTTTTTACACTGGCACTAGCAGGCTTTTTAGTGTTGTGATAAAGAGGGGGGAGAAGCACAAAGATTGGAAAAGAAGAAATGGAATTGTTACCAGCATTTGCAAGTGGTACGTACAAAACCTGAGAAACTCCACATGAACTATTAAAGCGCTGGATACAAAGTCAGTATTTAAAATGAAAAAGCACTGAGTCAAGAGAGGATAAAAATGTCTTCTAGGTTCTCTGATCACAGTAAGCGTGTCTCAGCAGATTTACTTGGGAAGGCCTTTATAACAGAGCCTTCTAACGGAGGTATCTGGGCTACATGCAGATGTTTCTGTTGGCATGGCTGGCCAGGGGTCAGTCCTTGACCACACTTCTTTCTAGGACTACAGGCTGAGCACAGGTCTGGTGTGGGGAGGGGAGCTTTCCTTCACGAGGGGTACAGCCTTTGTAATCCCCCCTGGTTAGCCTGAAACACATAAAGAAATGTGGCCCAGGTGAATCCCCATGCGGAGATTTGTTCCACTGCATCCCAAAGCGCAATGCAAAGCTATGAAAAGAAAAACATGGAGTCTGATGCAGGGCTAGCCTACTAGCATCATGGACACGACAGCAAAACCAGAAACAGATCCAGGCCTGCTTGGCGATTAATGTAGGGCAAACTGGCAGTGTAGAACAGGGGCAAAGTCCTTTTCTCACAAGTGGTGCAGGACCATCAAATATGCATAGGGGCAAACTAACATCTGGCTCTACATATACAAGCACAGCAAGAGATTTCAAGTGGATTACAGATATAATGGGAAAGCAAATGGTAATTTTTTTAAGATTATAGAGATTATGATCATGATTTCAAGGCAGAGAGAAAAAAACTTATTAAAAGACAGGCAAAATAAGGCACATCCATAAAAAATGAGAACAGAATAGGAACGTCCCAAAAGAATGCTTGATGACCAGTATGCAAGCCAGGAGGCGTACCTACTCTTCTGCTAAAAGACGTTACCTCATCTTGCAGTCCTCAGCTCCATAACCACCACCGGCCTAGTGAAAGAGGCCCAGTCTCTGCAGTGCAGGTCCACCCAGCAAGATGCAGGAATGCAAGAGCCGTGGAAGACCGAGCCCACAACGGCGCACAGCGTAAAATGCATTTCTTACTGTACTGTGTAAGGCGCCAGGTGTCGTGTACACTAGCATGGAGAACATGTTTCATCAGGGCAGCAAAGCGGCCATGGGGAAAGGGCTTCCCTATGCGCATTCTGCAATCAGTCGCTGAAATTTCCTTTCCTCCCCCCGCCCGTACTGTGCTCTCCTGCATGCTATTCTCATTGCTCTTCCCTTCATTCTTTTCCACTGGGCTTAAGAACTCATCTTTTCACTGACACCGCAAGCCTTTATCCTCCTCTGAAACCTTCCCAATGTTCTCCTGAGTACCTGCCACAGTTTCAGTACAAAGTACTGCACAAATCTAATGGCTTTATTATTGTAATTATTCCCTATTTATTGTTTTCTCTGTCCCTCAAAAGACTGAAATCCTCTTGAGACTATGCTGTTCAGTTTCATTTATTTTTGAACCTAGTACCTGGTTCAAGGCTTGAGCCAAAAAACCATCCTAGATTTGAGCTCACAAGGAACAGCCATGCACATGCTCTGAAGCCCTCACACGCTTCAGTAAAGGGAACTTCCCTTTCCAGAATGTCTGCTCTTTAAAAGTCTTTAGAATACGCACCACTCACTGCTTAGTATTTGCAGTTGTACTGCTTTGTGGTGGGATGTAGTATAACTTCAATGCTGACTCCAGAAGGGTATTCTTCACCCAACAGCTATCTGTAAATCTCCATCCTAGTAACAAACCAAGATAGGAAGGGACGGAAAGGTAAACACTGAAGAGTATAGAAATGGAGCCAGGCATCGTGGTATTCTTTAATGCGAGTGTGTGGGCAGCTGAAGTAGGAAGATTGCAAACTTGAGGTCAGCCTGGCCTGTGTAGTGAGTTTAAGGGTTTAAGGCCAGCCTAGACTACATAGTGAGACTCTGTCTTAAAAACAGAAACAACAACACAAAAAACCAGAACATAGAAATAAGGTGATGGAATATCAAAAAGCCAGTCTCCTCTGACTTCCAAATGCAGGAAGCACAGCAGAAGAATTCACACTTTCAGAGGAGCATAGCAAGTAGACCTTCCTGGTGTCCTACTCAATTTTTTCTAATGTGCCTCATGTTCTGAAGAGAATCTATCTCTTTGACTTGAGATTTAGCTGGGGGTGTAGCTCAGTGGTGGAGTGCTTGCTTAGCATGTGTGAGGCCCTGGCTTTGCTTCCCAGCACAGAAAACCAAAACCCCCGACTTCAAGAATCACAATGTTCTCTGCCCTCAACCCCCCGCCAGGCCTACAGTGACTCAGGCACGGTGGTAGCACTACTCCAAAACTGAGACTTCCTCATGTGCTTTCTGACCTACGTCTGTGACCTCAGTGCCCGCTGGTCATGGCTAGCTCATGGCTTCCTCCAGTTGACCTACCTGAAGTGCTGACATAGACATACCATGCCAGAGTGTTCCCTGCCACCTGCTCAGCATGTGGACCAAAGAAACCTGTAATTTCTATTAACTGGCATTTATCTGGAATCTCACCTGAGTTAAATTTCAGGGACAAAAGAATTCAAGTTTTTTAAACCAGGAATGAGAAATCAGTTCAAATAGAAAACAAAACAAAACAGAGTGATTTTGAAATCCAGATTCCGCACTTGAGTTTCACATATTTCATACATGGCTTGGGGATTACAGTTAGGAAGTCGGGATGGTGTGGTAGACAGCTCTTCTGGGATTCCCACAGACAGTAACAAAAACATGTTCCAAATTGAGTTCCTTAACTTTGTAGCACCTCTCAAACCTGAGCTCTCTTGATTGCTATTGGATGAGATGCATCATATCGTCACTTAAGTAAACACTTCAGTCAGCCTACAGCAGATGCCAACCTCAATCGACAACTCTATCTACCTGGCTTTCTAGCTGGTTCTCACTCTAAGTACCTAGCTAGACCCCTAAGGAGGGTGTCGGTCTCACTCACCTGGCAATATGGCACATGGGTGCAAAACAAGAGAATATTGTGCAGTTGAGGAGCTCTGGGATGACCAATGTTCTCTGTGGAATGAAAGGTGAGTCCAGAAGCTTGGGGCTTTTAATGGTATCAATCAGGGAAGAGCATGGGGGTCATGGCAGTGCTAAGGAAGAGAAACTGTGCAGGCATGGCTGGAGGGAAAAACCTCAATGCTGTACCAGACACAGAGGCCTCCAATTAGCAATACAAGGGTTAGCTTGATATATGTAAGGCTGGCACCTTTACTGCCAGGAAGGTATGATTCTGTCTGGGTCCCATGGCTTCAGGCGAGATGTTACCTCATGTCTTAGCCCTGGAATCTCACAGGTTCTTGCTCGAGCCCCTATTCCAGCCATCAGCAGGGGTGGGCTGTGTGTGGGAGGCAATTCCTGCCCTTGTGCTGTAATAAGGGAACATCTGCTTCAATATAGCCAGCTCTGTATATCTCGGTGAACAGGGTTGAAGTAAAGGTCAGGAAAAGATCAGAGCAAGCAGCTTTGTTCCTCAGGAGAGCACACTTGGCATCTCCCACACTAGGCTTCATGCCTCTAGACCTCTGCATACGCTATTACCCCCAGAGGTGTACTCAGGGCAAGTGCCAACCGTCAGACGCACTAGACGCTCCTTGGGAGGTGGTTTCTGTTTTGGTTCAGGAACTTCAGGCAAGCTCGAGTTTATCTGGCCAGTAAGTCAAGAAGTCTGGGGCCTCTTATTAAGAAAACACCTACTGTTTATAGTAAAACATCTACTGGGGTTTCTACCTAGACATATTCTACCTTCTGCCAAGAGGTCATTAATGTAGCTACTCATCCTTGGAAACACAGAGGTATACCAAAGACAAAGCCAGACCAACAGGCCACTATTTGCAGAATCAATATGGTTACTTTGTTATTGAACATGGCTTCCAATATGAAAAAAATGTTTCATCTGTAAGACTGGTAGCAATAAAAACAAAGGCTTGCACACAAGAAAAATAAACACACTGTTTGAACTAATAGTTCTTACTAAACCTACAACTACATCCTAAAGTAGGATTTTGAATGGCTTTACCTGATGAGTTCTCAGAAGTTATTTTACAGCCTTAGACATTCTGTTGATAAGAGTCCCTCTTAGTGACTTCTCACTTCTTCAATATTCCAAGACACTAAGTGTCAACTAAGGCGTTTATGTTTTATTGTACCTTTGACTGTAACTTCTGATGCAAGATGACGCTTCTCAGTATCTTCATTACTTACATCAGATGGTACTTTCCCTTGGCATGAATTTTCTGGTGCTTAGTAAGATTAGAGCTCCCACGGAAGGCTTTTCCACACTCATCACACTCATATGGTTTTTCTCCAGTGTGGATTCTCTGATGATGAATAAGAGTTGAGATCTGACTGAATGCTTTTCTACACTCTCCACACTCATAGGGCTTTTCTCCAGAGTGAATCCTCTGATGGTTAACGAGGGCTGAGTTCACATAGAAGGCTTTCCCACACTCCTTACACTCGTATGGCTTCTCTCCTGTGTGGATTCTCTGATGTTTGATAAGGGCTGAGCTCACACTGAAAGCTTTTCCACACTCATCGCACTCATATGGTTTCTCACCAGTGTGGATTCTCTGATGCTTTATAAGGTCTGAGCTCACACTAAATGCTTTGCCACACTCGTTGCAGTCATAAGGCTTCTCTCCATTGTGGACTCTCTGATGTATAATCAGGTGTGCCCTCACACTGAAGGCTTTCTTACACTCACTGCAAGTATAAGGCTTTTCCCCAGTGTGGATTCTTTCATGTACAGTGAGGGTTGAGCGCACACTGAATGCTTTTCCACAGTGATCACACTCATAGGGTTTTTCTCCTGTGTGTATTCTCCGATGTCGAACGAGGCCTGAGCTTTGGGCAAACTTCTTTCCACACTCACCACACTTATACCGCCTTTCTTCTGTGGGCCCGCCTTCAGGCTTTTTTAACTGGTCCTCAATCTGAGAGACCTTTTCATACTCAGGAATCTGTAAAGAATCCCCATTGTATTTGCTAGAGAATTTCTGGTGTAGGTTCATCCTTACAAAAATCTTCCCTTTAAAGTTGGAACTTCATTTAAAACACTGGTTATGATTCCTGAAATAATAAACAGATCTTTCAGATGTACTGCTTGCTACTAAATCAAGATAACATAATACAGACATAATTAGGGGCTCTCATGCATGTTCAGTAATTCTGTGACACAACAATTATTTAGTGACCAGATCCAGAGTTTTTATTCAGCTTGTGCCCAGACAAAACTAACACCACAGCAGTAGTGCAACAAACAGCTAACTCACTTAGGTATTTAAGCCTGTCTTCTATAAACTTATCTTAAAAAGAATCTGGAATATAATTAAATATTACAAAAATAAGGGCTGGGTATATAGCTCAGTGGCAGAGCACTTGTCTAGCATGCACAAGGCCCTGTGTTTGAATCCTAGCACTGAAGAAAATAAAACAATAATCCCTACTTTAAAAGACTTTTTATGATATTTAGTTAAATTAGAAAATCAGATATTGAATAGATTTGCAGATATGATAGCTGAAGCAGTATGAGAACAGACAAAGAAGAAGAACAGACATTCAGCCTTGATGTTTGAAAGATGAAAAGCACATTATTGGCAGGTATGTTTTACCACCAACTGGTATCCATTACTGCTCGAGCTACAGGAGATGTGAAGTCAAAAATGCACTGCTCTCTGTAGAGCACTACTGCAGCAGCTACTGCTGCTGTGATAATGGTATCTTAGCAACAGCAAAGCTCTCTCCTCTGCAGCTGTGACGGAGAAGACCCCTCAACGGCCACCACCAGCTCATTCCTAGAGTTCTGATCAATGTGTGAACTTGGGGACTGTTGTCATTCTCTTACCCCTAAGAACAAACTCAACTGTGTCTCCAAACTTGATAAACGTGCTCCAAACCTGAATTGGTATCACTGGCTTCCTCTGACCTTTTCCACCTTACAAATCTTCTCAACAGTGATCAGGTGTTAGCCTGCACCCTTGATGTGATGAAGAAGGCGTTTCACCTTTCTGTCCTTCCTCCCTAAACCTCACAATTCACTGTGATAACAAAACAGTGAAATCCCCACTGAGTGAGTTTATCAACAAAACCAAAAACAATGTGAGGGAGAGCACAGGACCCAGGGCCAAAAGAAAATGAGGTCTCCATTTGTACTGAGGGAACCCATTACCGTCAGAAAGGTGGGCCGGCCCTGCTGTGAGGTACAGCTGGGGAGCCTGGGATGAGGGGGACTGGACTGGAGCCACTGCATCCACGCAGCAGGAAGGGGAGTGGATGGAGGTGGGGTAGAGAGGACAGGAGGAGGCTCCGGTGGGCAGGCAGAAGGCCCCTGCGCCTCATGCCCACTCAGCAGTCTGGTCGGGGCGCTCTGCTGCTAGCAAGAGCGGTCAGCCAACCTGTGGAATCCCGTGAGGGCAGCTCGTGTCGGCACAGGGATACCAGAGGCTTAGATCACTGGTTCCTGAACAGACAGAAGTGCGGGCGCTGAAGGGAGGGATCTCATTTACTCAGCAGAAGGTATATTACGCCTTTTTATTTCTCTCCACTCTGTAGGGCAGACATTAAAGCCCTATAATAAAGCTGAAAAGCAAATACATTCTCTAAGGTGAGACAACTAATGAAAAGAAACAATGTGTGAACCTGGGTATGCTCTCTCAGTGGAACAGGGATTAGGATTTAGGGTTCAACCTTGAAATTAATTTGTAAAATTAACACTATTCCAATAAAATATAAGTTTTTAGAAGCTGTAGATTTGAATATTTAAATAGAAAAAGCAATACTTGTAAAAAATGAAAAAGACAAAGGTCACTTAGAGGGTGACTTGTCCTGAAGATTTTAAACACAACATAAATCTGGGTCTCAGAGTGGTACTGGAGACTGGTACAGTGTTCTGTGAAGTCTTGCAGCACACACCATCACAGGCGGAAACTTAAGGCATAACAGAGGTAGCAAATATGAAAGGGTGAGCTGATTCTTCAGTAATGAACGGAGAGTCAGATGATCAACCTGTAAAATACTAAACTGGATTCCCACTTCCCTCTACATACCAGGAAATACTTTAACAAGTCAAAGTTGGAAACACTAAAAAACAAAAACAAAAGTATACCTGCTTAGTCTGCAATTCTGTAAGATATTCCTTTTTGAGGCTCCTGTGCAGATACACTTCTGTAAAAGAAACATTATTTTAAATAAGAAAGATGACTAGAATAGGTGACAAAGGGGGGGGGCGCAAAAGCAAATGAACTAATTTGCAAACGGCTGTGAGGGCACGTGTGGGCAGGCCGCGGGGGCCGCAGGAGCACGAAACCAAAGTTGCTGGATGACTGCTAAAGGGATGAGCGACCACCTACTGACACACTGAATTAGGTATCTATTCTGCTTCCAAAAGGAAATGCCACGAGCCTAAGAAGTGGAAGTGGACGCCTCTTCTGAATTCAGAGCACCTAACGTTTATTGCCAATTACTTGCAGTTCTGTCTGTTGGGAAAGCGAGCTTCGGACCGGTAGGCAGTGACAGCAGCTGTACCCGGAGCGCAGCTGTCGTCAGGACTCTGTGGACGACAGGCACAGCCACAGTCCTGGGAGGAAGCACGACCGTCGGGTCCCCGACACCCGGCGGTTTCAGAGGCGAGATCCGCCTGCTCTCACCTACCCCTCCTGCAGGGGAGCGCCGACAGCTCCCACAAGGCCCCGCGACGCGGAAGTCGCTCTCGAGGTGGTGCAGGGGCCGGAAGTGGGCGGGGCCTGCGCCTCGCGGCCGGGCGGAGGGGCGGGGCTCCCCGCCCCTGCAGCAGGTCGTCCCCAAGCCCCCTTTTCTACTTCAAGTCTCACAAAGGTGGTTTTGCTTCCCGAGTTTCGGCCAAGGTAGTGTCCCCTTGAGGAAGTGGATGGACCCAGGGAGCAGGTGGGAAGAGGTATTTACAAAGTCACCTTAAAACTGTATCGAAGAGTCCTGTGTCTCTAGTCTGAAGTCAGCCAAGCTAGGGTCCCCCTTAAACCTTGGAATTTAAAGATGCAGCTGGGAAGCATCTCCAAGTGTGGGTCCTTGCGGGATCCCAGACCAAAACGGGGACACAGAAAGGCTCGGTTTCCTACTTAGTGAGTGCAGATGAATGCTGTATATTGTGTGCTTTTTCTAAGATTCCAGAAGAGTGCAAGGCTTTCAGAACGTGACTGCGGTAGTGCACAATCTCTCGGGCTGTTTATGAAAGAATTGTAACTCAAGATACCACAGCATGCTGGTTTGGACATACAAACTGATAAAAGCAATTTTTAAAATGAGATATTCAGGTGGAGTTACCAAGTATAAACTCATCCCATGGCAAAGTATGTATTAAGAGCTTAATGGATCAGATGTGGGGCCTACCTGTTCAAAAGCGCAATCTGAAAGGCCTCAAGAAACCTCGATTCTAAACACACACCAAGACCCCTAGATTCTTCCTTCACATGGAGCACACACGGGCAGCACCGTGCAAGTGGCCTCTCTGCTATCCATTTTCAGAATGGGTCGGGACACCAAATGATAGCCAAGCCTAGCGTTTTATAGGCTGAATATTTAGATGCAATGGAGCAGTGCAGTTACTTCTTTGGCACAGCACACTTATATTCTAACTCGGGAGTCCAATTTTTCTAAACCTGGCTCAGTACCAGGGATCCTCAAGTGAAGAATAGTACATTTACTACTTTAGTATGAGCCTTTTTAATTTAGGGAACATGTGCCTTCTGAGTGGGTTGTGTTTCAATTTAATGGGCATTTTGATTTGTGGTTTTCTTGGAGTTAGTGGTTACTCCTGTCTAGTAGCTGCCCAAGGGACTATCCAGGGGCTCTGCAGCCCTCAGAGCTACACTGTTGATAAACTGCAGCCCTTGCTGCTGAAGGTCCCTCCCTAATGTTTTGAGGCTGTGGTAATGAGCCAAGATGTGGAAGGTAAGAACTAGACTTGTACTGTAACACTTGCTACGAGGACTGTAATAGATCTGATACTGGGAAAGCAGCCTAAACAGATCACAATGAGCACAGGAGTGTGGCTGGACAGGAGGAATACCTTTGTTCTTTATTCTTTCTTTTGTGCCAGGGATTAAACCTGGGGCTTTGTACATGCTAGGCAAGTACTCTCCCACTGGGCCACATCTCCAGCCTTGGAATGACTTCTCCTGATTTAAAGCACAGTAGGATAACTACAGGAGACACCAATTCAAAATAGCTAGTATAGGAATCTGAATGTCCCATCATATAATGTCTGAGCTGATAGCTGTGCCAATTATCCTGACCTGACCATTACACATTGGACAATGTACCAAAATGTTAGAGTATCCCATAAATATGTAGTAACTAAGTCAATTTTAAAAAAGCATTAGCAACAGTTTCTTTGTTTATCAAGACCCTAACAGGTATGTTGCTGTGAATTCCAAGCATCTTTAATAATCTCAGAAATCACAAAATACACATTTAGGAGTCCCTTGAAGCCGGGCACATTCTAATTACAGTGCTAGTCTTTCACATCTCTTCTGCCATTTACCTTCAATGTCTAGAGTCCGTTAAGCATTTTGGGCCAGATAATGATACCGTGGAGGCTGTCCTGTGCCTGGAGGCTGTTCAGCAGCTGTCCGCCTCTATCTACTAGACTTCCAGCTGTCCAAAAGTGGTGCAACCAACTACTAACCTAACCTCAGATACAAAAGCCTATTATTCTCAAGTGCTTTTGTCATTATAACCTTTACAGAATAGTTTTTAGTGTTTCCTATTTTTTCTTTATTTATAATTAAGTCTGGCCAAGCAAACAGAGAAGTTCAGATATCTTCCTAGAGTTGGCTTTTTTTTGGCTTTATGCTTTAAGGGACAGTCCAATTCCCATGTACTACTGCTGTATATACTACAGAAATCAGTCT